TGTGCATGTGGTGCAGCGCATCGCAGATCTGAAAGAAGATGCCCCAAACCTTCGGTACAGGCTCGCAAGACCAGCTTCTGCCTGCGGAACTTACACCAAGTCTATCTGGAATCAAGTTTCCTTAGCATGCATGCGGCCTTAGCATGAACTGTACATGCGCCTCCTCGACAACCTTGAGTGCGATCCTCACTCGACGGTAGCAGAATAGAATGTTTTGCCGAATTCCAACAAGCTCACCGTCGCCTAAGCTTCAAGGCTTCAGCCACTCTTGCGAAGCCTGGTGCTCTTCGAGCATCCGGTTGCCATGTCTGGTTTTGCCTCAGTTTGACTTGACTAAAAAGGCGGAAGCCAAGGTGTTATCCAATTGGCCTCTGACGAGACAGTAGCCATTAACTAAAAGCGTGCAACATAAGCACAAATCGGACGCGGGGGGGGGGGGGGGGGGGTGGGTGCTGTTTACTGAGATGCTCACGAGAAGCTAGCATTGAGGCCACTGGGGCCACAAATAAAGGGCAGTCTCGTGGAATCGGATACGCACACCCTGTCGCTGCCGATGTTGCTCCCATGTGTTGTCCCTCCCACGCCGAAGAATCACGAGGATCCTAACTTAGGGGTAAGAGGCCTGTGGGAGGCGGCTGTAGAAAACCTCTTGTTGCAGTCCGCGTTTTACGGGCCAGGCACCACAGTTCCGTCGCTGTGCCTCGTTTTACTGCTGTTAGCCATGTGGCTTAGCAAACTCGACAGGTCTCCATGAGCGGCCAACTCCAGGATGATCACCTCAAAGAGAAGGTGCGTTTAAATTTCAGATTTCATGCAGAATTTGCAGGACAGTAGAGCTCTGGAAATTGCAACATGCATCAAAGTTTCACACGCAGGAGCATTTTGCTCTTGTCTTGCTCCCCGGCATGAGGCTCGCAATAGTCGGGCTTGATAGTCAAACTACAGTTTTGTGAAATATGGAAGCATCACCGACATACATACACACTTACATAAAGCAGTGCAGAACGACGTAAGTACAAGGATTTACAGTAGTGGCCAATGGAGCCACGAAGACGAAGTAGAAAGCTAAAAACACGACGAAACCCGCTGTGCAAGGAGATAAGCTTTCTCCTGAGACTCGCCTAAATTATTTGTGGAAAGCCAAACACTCAGTCATCCAGTATCTCTGGTCACTCATAAGCAGGGCCCTTTGTCAGAGTGCGAACCAGCCACACCAGTGCATACTTGCTTAGGCATCACCCTCACCAAACTGCACACGACATATAACTTCAGCACCTGCCGGAAGAATTCTAAGAACCCTCACCCTCATCTCACACATATTGCTTCTGTCTTAGCTAAGGAGGCTGGTTCACGCAGCAGCTGCAGGTGGGCAAGGTCAAGCTTCTTTATAGTACACTTGCTTCAGGGTTGTGGGATTCCGGGTCCTATTAACAACTACACGCACCCAAATCCTCCTTCAGGCCCTACCAAGTGCTTTCAAACCAAAGGCATCTTATCACCAAGTCACCATTTCCATCTCTTCCGTGAAAGAATCCTGGACAATAAGGCTTACAAACAAAGGAGGCTCGGAGTAAAAGCTGGTAGTATGACACCCAGCTATCTACCTGCTTGCCTACCTACATACATCTGGTTGGTGCATGCAAGATTGAAGCAAGATGGCTTCCGGCTGCTTAGGATGGAGTTGAGCTGAAGATGGCCCTGAAGCTTGACCTCCATGCTCAGGAGCCGGTTGAGCAAGCGTTTGATTGAGCTGCCGGCTTCCATCTGGACGCAAAGCTTGGGTTTGATTTAAGTCGTCGGCTCCAGCAGACTGACCCCCAGTTTCGAAGGCGAGTCCAAGCTAACCCGACCCCAGAATATTGGAGCCCCGAGCCCTTCAAACTCTACAAATCCGAAACCGCAAACCTCCGAGTCGTTTTCATGCAGCCTCAGGAAGCGAACTTTGAGCCAAGAAACGAAATACTTGATGATCGTGGGGTGTGCCAGCTCCTTTTGGCTTACAAGCTGGGGGTTTGGTGATTTGGGATACAGGTCCGTGTGGGCTGTTTGGGGGTGTAAATATTCACTTCCACCATGGTTTTACAGGTACAGCTTTGAGGGTGTATGGGCTCGAGGGCTGACGAGGGCCTAAGCGTAGAGATCGAGGATTGCAGCTCATGTAGTATACGTCATGTGAGCCATGAAGTGGTCCTTGGTTTATAATGTACAGTACACTCGTCACTATCACTGGCCTAGCCCTGTCGTGTACACTCCTAACTCTATGTGCTACCCCATGCTCGCGAGATAAACGATTCAAGCGATCTCGTCCGTCGTTTGCCTGACTTATGGCATCAGGCTATGCCGTGCGGCCCCAGATGTGTTCGTTGGCAAGGGGCTCGACCGCAGCCATGACCGCCAGCTAAACCCACAATGCAGAACTTATGTCCCAAGTTTGGTCCCCCTAATCCAAGATCCACAGGGGATCCATGGACGCCGGCCCGAACTGAGGGCTTGGCAATCCAGTTTAATCAAACCCAAACCGCCGCAAAGTCCTGGAGCATCTTAGCTTCGGCATACACTTCGCTCCGGGCATCATCGTCCATCTCGTAGATCCTAAGCTTTTCAGATTCTCGCATTTGCAACCCCTGCAACATGGACCCTACATTGTCCTCGGAAGGCGTGTGCCAACTGACTATTTATCACCCCCCGGCTGCGCAATCATGCAAAAAAGAGTGTGGTCCTCGACCAAACATGAAACTCGATGCTCGGTGGAGGGGTGGGGACTGTGGGGAACATGGCCGAGCCTTAAATATGCTTGCAGATGCGAGCTGAATCGACCAGCACCCTCTGACCCAATGCTCCATGGGAAAGCCGACTACAGCAAGGGCTTCATGGAGAGGCACGTCACAACGGCGCCCCCGCCCCCCGCAGAAACGGGAGCAACAGCAACACTGGCTACACAACTACAGCCTTAATCACAAAGAGAGGACAAATCAAAAGAGCAGTCGTAAGAGCAGCAGCGCAATGCACCGCCGAGCCAGGCTTTAACTCACGACGTGCGCGGAAAAGCGAAGGGCCTTCACGCTGAACAGGGAGCTCTGCTGTATAACTACGGTTTTGGAACAAGCAAGATCATCTTGTTGTACCCGCCCCGAAGCACTTATGACATGAGGTATATGGAGCAGATCATCCATGGCGTGTCAAGCTGGAGCCACCTCGCATTGAGCCCCGGAGGGACACTCCCAACTCCTGGGCTCCCAAAGACTACAACGGCTCCTTCTAAGGTTCCTCGAAAGGAAAACAGAACGATCGAAGTAGACAAGCTTCTGGATTCGCTTCAAGGCCACTTCACCTCAGCAACAGGTGCACCTTACTGTAGAAGGGGTTTTTGGAGTCTGACCACCTGAGCACTATCAAAAATTGCAGAGCACTACAGCCATAAAGAACACCCTGCTGCATTTCTCCGAGCCCGAAGCCCCAAAACCTCCACATTAGTTCTAGTGATTCTAGTGCCGACAGCAGCGGACTCCTCACATATCCCAAAGCCACACATCTTCGTTAGAGCTCAGATCGGGGCGTTCCCCGCTGGATTTCCATAGAGCTCGGTGGACTTCTGAGAACCTGAGGCTGGTTCTGTCTGGGCGTGGGTCCATTTTGCAAGATATTTTAGGGAGTCGCTGCCATACTGGTAACTGCATCTCCTAGCCTAGAACTTTTCTCCTCCACGCATGAAATCTTGCAAGTTCAACCCACCCGATCCCTCACAAAAAAGCAACGCTCAAGTGGATGGACAGGGAGCTGCCCTCGACCGATGCTGCCAATGATCTGAAAGTCCTGAATGCGTGAAACCAGCCTGAGCGTGCAATAGTGGGGGTGAAGACTTTGAAACTTCTCTCGGAACCGATGAACTCCACCCAGCAATGGAACCTCTCGGGCTGCTGCGATTTAGAAGTCTCGGGCCTTCGGCCTTACTGTCTCGAGTTTAGAAGTTTCATGAAGTTTAGACAATCGGAAGTCATTGCATCGCACGGCACAGCTGCGTAGAAATCAAGAGGCCGTGGTGCGACACCAACAAAGTCGCACGAAAGACAGAACATAATCTTCTGCAAGCTACGCCCTAAAGACAGAGATCCTAGAGACCGATGCTGTGTTTGCTGCTCCCACTGTGCCCTGCAGGCCCAGCCCCGAACCCCTGAAAGCCAGATTTCCAGTGAGCTGCTTGCATGCGGCCAGGTCCAGAACAGTCTGTGCAGAAGGGCGGTGCAGCGGATCCACCGTCAAGATCCTGGCGAACCAATGGGCTTCTAAGTGGCTATCGATGTAGGATTTCGGTACCATGGCTGTGGCTGCCCCTTTGAAACAGACTGCTAGGTGACCAGCAGGAGTTGGATACTTTCGGCAACCAGATCCGAAGTCAAGCCGCTGCTCCAGAGCAGAGTCGGGGCACAGACACGGCACTGCTTTCTTTTACATCCGGGCATCATGCACCAAAGTCTCACATCCGGGCATCACGCATCAAAAGTCTCACTCAGATGCATTGCTTGGCGAGGCCCACCAGTTACACTTCAAGATCTGCGAGCAATGCCGCCATGTCGCTTTGAGACCATGTTGATAAAGTCGGTGGACCAAACTTCCTCGGGCAGGCAACAAGATCATTCGAAGTGCACATGCCATCCCACCAAAGCCCAAGTCAACCTCTGTCCCCTTCTCCATTCCGGGCGGCCGGTGGCAGGTCTGGGTACTCCGCATTGGTGATTGCATGACCCAGAGCCACGAAGTCCATGTCCTGGCGTCGGCTGCCAACGCTTGAGCTTTGATGACAAAGAGTTTTGGAGCCGATGCTGTCTTGTCATGCGTGCAACCTTCCGGGGCCTTCCTGAAGGGTCAAGAAAAGCTTCTCTTCTCGCGTATCCCCTTTTTCCGTGGGAAGACAGTTGGAGCCATGTATGTTTCGAAACAACGGTTTGGCAATCTGAAGGGGCTATAGTTATAGTTCGGATGTACAACACAAACTAATACACGACAGCGGTTGCAATTTGATGCGGGAGCTGTGCACACTACTACAAAGTGGAACTGCTGCTCATTGGAGTGATTGTAGTGGCAACTGCAGCGTCTGACAAGTCAGGAGATCTGGCAAAGCCACCATTACCTAAACCCCTACAGCAACGAGGTCAAAGCACGCTCTTGGGGACCGGGATGTTGCTGCCCAAACCTCCACCCCGGTACCTGCGATGAAAGCCGAAGGGCACTGCGCGTGAAGGGCTGCACGAGGGCTGCCATCTCGTAGAGGGAACATCCCAGGCTCCAAATGTCTGAGCCTGGGACATCGGAGAGTTGGGGGGTGGAGAACTTGGGATTCGCTTCGACTCCTAATCCTTGAGGGTGCGATTCCAGGATTGTGGGATTCGCGCCAGCTCCGGTTCGGGGCTTCGTGGTCTCCAGGGCAATTGACATGTCTGCTTGGTCTCTGCCACGATGTGGAAGCTGTGGTTCTGGTCGAAGCTGGCTGGGCCACACTGTGCACCAGCTGCTGGATACATCCGATACAGCAGAAGGCGTACGTTTTCAGGGGCCCCATGAAGCAATCGTGAGGAGCAAGCGAAGGTACTTCGGAGGCTTCGGATGGCATGTCGCCTAAAAGCCGAGGCAATTTTCCTTTTCGGAGTTTGTATTCAGCTGCTACTGTCTCGGTGAGTCCCCCTTAGTATGCTTTACCTGGCTCTGCGCCTGTCTAGGAGGGCGCCTCCGATACTGGGAGTCAGTTTCGCCACACCTGTGCTGCCAGGTGTCCGTAAGAGTAAGGCTCTCCACGGACGATTTCTGGTGCCATGTACAGCCTTTGAGGCGGGCAAAGTTGACTCGGATCCAGGTTTGCTTGCAAGGGGTTCCTACAACGAATGTCATCTTTTTAGCGAAGGAGCACTGGTCACATCCAGACATCAGGCATTGCGCTTGACAATTTTTCCGCGAGGTAAGCGCAATTGCTCAAGCTACTCGCCCTGACCCCTAAGCCTTGAAGCATATTACCAGTATATACACCCCATACACAGCATACGTGGAGGATAACGCAAACCCTGCATCCGTGCAAACAGTGCTTGTTACTTCTGCGTTCAACATTGAAGCTCCGAGCTCTGCACGGGGTGCCCACGCAGGACATGGCACACTGCGTTGTGTCCGAGAAAGCCTGAACGAAGTGACGAGAGAGCTGATAACCTTTGGCCTGGAGAAGATCCTGAGGGCTCCTGGGGCTCGAGACAACTTACCAACACTATTTTGGGGGGTTCCTTAGTCTAAGTATAGTATTAAAATGGGCCCAAAACCCTCTTCTAATTATTCAGGCCCCTATATTACCTACAGTAGCGGTCCTTAACCCTATTTACACCCTCACCCTAAGAGTCAGAAGCCTTGGAGAGGCCGAAGTCGCCCAGCTTGGCCTGTCACCAGGCTGCGATGCGACGGTTCATGGGTTGTTCTCTAAATTAGGGTCCCTTTTTGGGGTGTTTATAAGGGTGCCGTACTATATTGGGGACCCCAAAATAAAGGGGCCCTAGTTTAGAGAACTACCCTCATGGCTTCGTCGCTACAGGTTGCATTGAAGCACCTGACTGGGGAATGCGTTGTTCATCATCGTTGCTCGTTCTGTTCAGTAATTGACAGAACTTATCAAAAGTTCACAAAGACTTGACCGGTATAAGATAGCTGACTCTGAAAGCCAGGTGCAGGACTCCAGAGGTTTACAATGGGAGATACCCAGGACTTTCCAAACTCCTTCCCTGCGGAATCTCATTACTCATGTGCTGTGGATGGGACAGCCTGCAAGCCATTCTGGAAGATGAAGATGTGCGAAGGCTTTATGTCTCCTTCAAATCAGTCTTCGCATCTTCACAAACCACTGGATGATTTTTCGAGGTTCTTATGTGGCAAGGGATAGACGGTTAGAAAAGGAACCAGGTTCACAAGACGTTGGGCAGCGGAGGGACGGGTAAGTTCACCAAAATTCAAGGCAAAATTACAGAACACCTGAGTTGAACACAAGGCATGTAACACGTGCATCACAGAACACCTGAGTTGAACACAACTCATGTACGTGCACTTCCAGCCGGGCATCGGTGGAGAACACGGCGCTTATGTAAATACGCAAGAGCACCTAAGATGGGCACTCGAATCTGTGAGGGTGACGGCTCCTGCGCCAAAATGCTGCCTGCTAGCACGGGGTATGTAACATGAAGTAGTGCCAAGAATCGGGGTGACTTAACTTAAGCAAGTTACCCTGGGGAATCCTGGGGGCTTGAGGCACCGGCACATGGCAACCAAGACTGCGCATCAACCCCTCGAGGTGCTGTCTTGCAGGCGAGGTGCTTGCGACATCACACAGCCTCAGTTCAAAGCATTGTGAAACGGCAAGCTGGAGAACAGCCCATTCGCGCATGAAGCACTGCCAAGATGCCATCTCCAGAGGAAGTGCTCTTCAATTCGTTTCTCTTGCCTTGACAAACTTAACAATCTGCGCTGCTGGATAGGGGGCAGGGCTTCGACAGACGCACATGCAGCGGCACGCATGGTACCGTCGTTCATGAGAACAGCTACAGTACTGCATTTTGTTCAAGCCTCTGACCGTACGAAGCCCGAGCCCTTCATTCCGGAATCCTGATCATCAGAGGCCTCAACCCCAGAGCAACAATCCAACAGCCTGTTCCGCATGTTTTGACGACTGAAGGAGCTCCGGAACAAACGCGAAGCTCATGTCGGCTGCGGGCATCAGAAGCTCACGATCCCATTGGCCATGGAAACACCCGTGTAATCAGCAGCTTCTGAACTTCGAAGACCGAGTGCAACCCAGCCATCCAAAAAAGAAACGGCCTATCGCACACTCTATGAGAAGCCCATAAATGACAATATTCCTTTTCTGCATGACTGTCATTCGTGGGCTTCTCAAAACCCTAAACCTTCCACTGAACCTTCATAACTTTCAACCCCCGAACCTGTGCAACCTTCGCCACCTTCCCTTCCACCCTCAACTGAACCCGTCTGACCGGAAACAGCCCCACGTCACAAAAAGAAAGCAATCGGTGTCACAGGCAAGCAGCTCTTTGACCTGGTCGATTTTGTTGGCCAGGGTCCCGCCTGAAGCCAGCTCCATGACCTGTCAGTGTTTCGGAAGATCAGGGATCCCAATACAGAATCAGTAATCCCGAAACCCTACAATGTAGGATCGCTGTAGAAGGGCTTTGGGAGGCTGGGGGCGGGGGATGTCTACGGGTTCGGAGTGGGAGAAGTTCAGGTTGAGGGGCCGCGCAGAGGACAGGATTTCGGCCCGGGGGCTTTGCGCCTAAACCTTGAGTCATCTCTATGTGCCTATACACGTAGAACTATACATTGCTTTCTATGCATGATGTTTTCATATGTATGTATGTGTATGTATAAAGATAGATGATATACACACACATAGATACATCTTAGTAATCCCGGGTTTGCGGGAGACAGAATCTTCTACCGAAATATCAGGGACCCCACGGTGTTCTTCGGAAAAGCTGTGGCGGTTTGGAACTTAAGAAGGCTAGGGCGAAGGACTTCGGGCACCAAAGTCCGGAATAGGATGCGATACTTCGGGTGTGCGAACTCTTGCGCTTCGTGTTTTCCGCTCCTGGCTTGATAGCTTCTTGATAGCTCCCTAGTCGATTGGTGGCAAGAGGATGCCAATGATGATCACACCCCTGCCTGCTAGTTGTGGCGTTGGCGGGTCTGAGCTTCGGTTTGTAAGGCTCATGCCGTGAATCTTGGAGGGCTGAGGGCTCATCTACAAGAAGTCTGAGGCTGGAGCGAGGAAGAGGTCCCCATGGTGCCCGAAGTGCGTGTGGTATTTGATCCTTGGCTCGGAGAATTTGAGACGGCGAGCTTTGTCGCCCTTAAGATGAACTCACACAAGAACGAATGTGTAGAACTACGTCGTCTCCCCCCAACACCCAAGAGCTGGTGGTTTGCAAAGGATTCATACCAGCACCGAGGATCAAGTTCGGATGGTCCAGCATCTGAAGGATGGTGATCTCCGTCTCCATCTCCTTCGAAGAGGGCGGGTTGACTTTCCCACTATATGTACCTTGCGAAATCCCAATGTGGACTTAGTCCTATGTTCTTCAGTCTGCATCCTATGCCCTTCTCCTTGACGGTGTTCGCATCCTTGTCACTCTGGGAAGCGACTTCGTTCACCTCGTGGGAAGAAGCGTCGGCAGCAGTCTCTTAATACCAATCAACAGGCTATTGTATACAGACCGAAACATCTGCTATCTTGGTGAGCTGTAGAGAGTTCACCAACCTCTGGCTGAACAGCTGCAGCCAGGTGTCTTGCTTGATTGCAACCACTACACCTCAGTTACAAGCGGTATCTTTGATCTTCCAACTGCGATCCGAAAGCCCGATGAACAACTAAGTGGACCCGCTCAGCGCTGCGAGGGGGATACACAATATCCTCTTCTGAGCATGACAAAAGAAGCTTCTTTGACCTTGTCCGGTGCACACATGGGGCTCAAGTGCAGGAAATTGTCTGAAACTTTTGGCTCCCTGGTGTTGCCTCGAAGGTCTTCGTGACATCTCTGTCTGAAGAAGCCCAAGGAAGGGCCCCGACAAACTCTACGTAACCCGAGCACCCGAATGTACTACTTGCGGCTGGGTGGCCCGTCTCCAAGTATGTCGCTTCCTTGGTGGGCGGTAGGCAAAAGGACACCTTCGCATACATCAACACTGAGGCAAACACTACCAGATCCACCTGATAAAGGCCAACGCATTGCCTATCGGCGTGGGTATATGCGTTTCGTCGTGCGCCTGGCCCATTCGGACGCGGTTCTGTGTAGCCGCCATATTTGCGGCAGGTGTGCGTTGGTTCATTGATGTCTTCACCCTGCTGAGATTGCACGGGCATCCCCTGGACCGCACAACCTCGACAGACCTCTACCTTTAAACTTAAAGTCCGCAACGGCCCCACAACCCCAGACGCAAAGGCTCCACCTGCACGAGTTGCAGGGACAGTGGGCCTTTATGTGCCATGGGTCTGTGACGCGTGAAGACTTTCCTCGAATAATGCATCGGCCGAGCCTTGGTTGTCCGAGGAGACGCAGCAGCACAAGAGGCCGATGGGCTCAGGCTTTCGAGTTTCGGCGGAATTGCAAAGCATGCCGCATGCCGCGCTGCGAAGAACCCTTTTCCATGTCGAAGCGTCAAAACATGAAGCCTCTCATACTCGGGACTCGTTAAAGCCAGGGCACTGGTAGGAACCCAGATCATTCATTGCCAGGAGCCATGGTTAAGAAGGCATGTGCCCCACCACAAGACGCCATTCTACATAGTATGGTTTAGGGGCTAGCGTCTAGAATCGGCTAAAGGCGTCGGGGCTTAGGCTACCGGCAGTTACCGGAATCCTGGGCGAGTGGGTTGAATTGGGTTTCTTCGTGGTGAGATCAGCGTTCTGTTACATGACCTTTTGAGGTGCTTGGGTTCATGGCGTCAGTTCTGCAGGGGCTAGGAGGCGAGGGATACACCTAAGCATCCACATCTGCCCCTCCAACTGGAATGATGGGTTGGCTTCCGGTTTCAATTCTACGGCCTTCGCCTGCACTGCATGCACCCTCAGTTGCATGAGCCTTGTCATCTTCTTGAACCGATTCTGCGATGCAGCAACTCTTCTGCCGGATGCTACTGGTGTTCTTCTACAGGATTTTGAGAACGAGTGTCCTCAGTATGCACGAGGTCTTAGAGCCTAAAGCAGCTCTACCTGATCGCGGGACTGCACAGCTAAAGCGCTCATTTATTATCTGTTTGACTTTGGTTGCTCAACTGCAGCCCCAACATCCGAGGTCAAAGCCTTATCACTGCCTTTTTCTGTCATGGCAGCAGTTGCCGCGGAAGCAACCGAACGGGAGCCGACTCACCTTCGACCGCCTGCATACATGCGCTTCGGGCTATACAGCCAGTCTCTCAACGTCTAAAGAATTTAGTATGAGGAATAAGTACATCAGCGGCGGGCTGTGTGCTAGGATGCACTTAAGTCGTATCCTAAGAACGATTTACAAGTCCCACTTTAAGAATGCTACGCTGGTCTGACATATATATATATATAATCAAAATAATAATAATAATAATAATAATAATAAGAATAATAATAATGACAATGATGATTAGAATAACAATTATTGCACGGACGGCTGTGTCAACGAAATACCACATGTGCAACCACTCTGCAACGGCCTGATGCTTGGTGCACTAGATTTTTAGGGTTGCTCTCAACACCGAACGCAAGGATCTCCAATGCTCAATTGTTCGACTCATGTTACACTGCCAACACACCATGGAAGCAGGCAGCATTGCTCGGTATCAAAAACCGCTCAACGCACAGCGGATCCCTGATCAGGCATGGCATATCAGAGTCGAAGCCCAAGTTCAATGCCTCCAACATGTAAACAAAACTCCTGAAGACTCCCATCGACTCCGGAACGACCTGTAAGGCCCGCGCTACGCCCGTTCCTATACCCTGGTAGCACCAGCAGCCGACGGCCATCAGCCAGCGCTCTTCGCAGCGCTGCTCGACGTCCAGCCAAGGGCCGCAGCCTCGCAGGTCCTGGCACTGGATTCGGATTCTGCTGCTGCTGCTGCTGCTACCTGCCGCAGCCGGCTATTGCCGCCAACGCCACTGTCACGCCATGTAATGCTAACATAACATTGATGACAAAAGGAAGTCTGAATATTACAAGGCAAGACACTGCACACAAGCCAGCTTCTGAAAGCACCTGGATCACTTCCGGAAAGGCCTGTGTCCAAACCACCCAGCCGGACAACGCATCCGAAGGGCAGCAGGACCCTGCAGCTTCACTCTGTTACGTGCGCTCCGAAATCCAAGCAACACGACATGCTGATTCATCGGGAGGTTTTTTTCGCAGGCTTGAGGAAAGTGGCCATACTCCATCAGCTTGACTGCGAACAACAGTTGCAGAACAACTCCAAGACCGAATGGCCTGTGCGGACTTACGCGAAGAACAGGTCCCACTGCATCTACACCGTCGACGGGACATCTCGGCAAGGCGGTTGTGTCAGGCGAGTGCTTCAGCTTTCAATGGTCTCAAATCGGGCGGCACGCGACAGATCGACAGCAAGTAAAAAGCTCAAACAAATTTAGTGGGTTGGCCAGATTCTTTTGGAGGACAACGTCTGACATTTATGTCCTCATGCCCCTGAAATCTGCACCATGGGCAAACATGGGCAACACAACAGCTGTAGACAGCCGAGCTGGAACAGTTTCAACAACAAGCTCAAGTGGCTGTTACTGCAGCAGCTGAGGCAACGACTCCTGCACGAGGTATGCCTGTGCTTGTCTCTGCGTCCGGACATCGTGGGTCTTTTTCCGCTGAGGGAGATTCAGGGTATCCAAGCGGGGCTGGAACCTGTCTGAATCAGAAGAGACTATAGCCGTTGCTCTGATAGGGGTTGTTCTAATCACAGCAAGTCATGCAAAAGGCAGCTCACAAAGCTCTCCCTGTTCCGGGAGTCCCAGGTGATCAAAATAATATCCTCGTATCAGTACTGCAAGCTGCCTCTTCTGGAAATGTGTTCACAGAATTATTCCTGTCCTTCTCGAAAGGCCACAACTACTCCCCACGTCACTTGCGATAATTACCAAGACTTCTTGGCGCAGATTGAATCGTAGTGGCAATTGTGGCTGCGCTCATGACGGCTATATGCCCTCTTCCGATGCCGGCTGGCCTACCGAAGTGTTTTCAAGCATTCGTCGTGCTGTAATGCTGCCTGTCAACATTACCTTTCTGAGCTTCTTGCGACAAGGCTCCCGCACAAGGTCTCGGCTCTGCACAATGACATTTTGACTTAGGTACTCCAATATCTCCAATCTTCAAGCAACAAAAATGTAGCGTAAGAAAAATCACGGTACAGTACTTACTTACAAGGAGAAATTGAACTCTAGAGATACACCTCAAGCGCCAAAGGCACAAATCGAGGCGCTTTTGGCAAGTCTCGTTAGGAAGGCTGCTGACCTGTATTCAACGTCCCGGCGGCACTAGCTCCTCCGTCTGCCCCGAGCTCCATATCAAGCAAGCTGGCCATGGTGCCTGGCTTTTATATAAGACGGGATCACGCTGCGATTCTTGTTAGAAAGCAGGATCTGCGGCAAGCATTGACAGGCGACGGCGACCGCAACCGCGACTCTGCATGTCCACAGCTGTAGAAACCCCAGCATCCGCACAGAATGAGTGGGACCAAACAAGCGATGCCGAATAAACACCTGGCAAGCCTCCATCCAACTGCAACAAGTTGAGAAGACATGTGGCCTGGGCTCTCGCCGAGGCCTGCTGGAAGCAACTCCACTTGCAGGCCTCGACAACATGAAGCATTCAACGCTTGTCACATGGGTCGTGTTATATCAAAAGGTATCAATGAAGAGCCCACGCGCTACCAACTCGAGTGTACATCTGCGAGCTCTTTCCGCGAGTCCGTTTCTGACGAAGTCGAGCATTCTACACACACACACACATATAACTCTGTGCATCTATCTCTCTCACACACGGACTCGAGTGTATCTATCCATCTATACGCGTGTGTGTGTGTATGTGTATATATGTATGTATATATATATATATACATATATATACAGATATTTTTAGATGTAGATGTAGAGTTGTATTTGCATGTATACATGTACGTATACGCAAGCACATGTCAATGTCTCTATGTGTAGATATATCGTTACATCTCTCTGTCTCTCTCTCTCTCTCTCTGTCTCTGTATGAATGTCTGTCTATTTATGTTTAACAGGATGCGCAAGAATGGCGAAACCCCAGAAGGCCAACGGAAGACTGAAGATTGGGGAAACGGACCCTATGAGCCGGGCATTGAACGAAGCTCGACGGGTGGAGAAGCTTTCGATCGCCGCTCGGCATCCTCGTGCGGCAACGACTGGGATCACAGGTCAGAACGATTACCTCTCTCTCTCTCTCCCCGCCCTGTTTCTCTGTCTGATGCTGCATTCTGTGATGTTTCCTTCTTTCTGTTCTTCCGACCCTGGCTCTGCAACTGGGGTTGAGATGTCGGTTCATGCACTCTTGTGCATTACAGGCTTTCGCATTCCCGGCGGCAGCTTGTGTTCTCGCCTGCACACAACACCCTTCAGCAGCATCCACTGCTTCATGCCGGACGTAGGCGATGAACCCAAAACTCCCCTGCAGAGGAATTGGGCTGTACTGAGAGACTACCTCAAGCAATGCCAAACATGACCGATGGATGCGAACTGATGCGTCCGAGGCATCATGAATGTACATTCGGACAGAAAAAGGAAGCTAAGTAACAACTTCCGGAACAGGAGCTTCAACGAGCGAAGCTGCCCCGGTATCTAGAGCGACGAAGGACAGGCACCCCTCACTTGCATTTACAAATCACTCAGGAGTTGGTTGGTTCCAACAGTTTCACCTCATCACAAAAAGTCCAGCCTGATGAATATTTCACTCGCTTTCTGAGACATTTCTGTACGCCGCTAGCACCTGCCGGGGACGCTGGGCGTAAAGTAGGCACCATTGAAGAACACATCCTCGAAATCTTTCCATCTCTCTGGGCCCTCAGCAAGCTCCCGGTCAGTCAACAAAGCCTCTTGCAAAGCCTCGAGGATCCTGGCCTTCTCGATGCCAACACCGATAAAAATGACTTCGGAGTCTCGGTCACCATAGCCAGACTCTTCGTGCCAGCGGCCCTCTTCCTTCATCTCTGCTAGCACCTTGCCGAAGCGCCTGCGCGAGAAGTCGTCGAACTTCTCCTGCGGAAGTGCATCTAGGAAGGGCCTGTCTGAGGCGGTCAGGTTGAAGAGGCGACCAGAAGACTGAAACTCGACTGGGTGGGCATGAGCACTTGCAATCCAGAATCGCCCCTTGGCTCGCACCACACCCTGGAAGGGCCCTTGCGTGTCGCCCACCACACCCTGGAAGGGTCCTACAGTATCGCACGACGAAGGGCCTGCCTGGCGCACCTCCTCCGCGGTATTTCCTGGTTGTGAGCGAGATCGGGCAGCAGCGATGCTTGTCTCGTAATTGCCAAAACCAGCAAGTGCAGCTTTTAGCCTTGCCGGGTGGAAAGGACGAGAGTGGTTGCGGAAGACAACGCTCGCAATGCCGTACTCGAGAGTCTCAGGAACCTTCTCTTTCTCCAGCTCGCGTTGCCAGTCTGCTGATGCCTCTGCCTTCTCCATGTCGAAAAGACCTGTGTTGATCACTGCGCGTGCCGTGAGATCCGTGAAGTGCTCCTCCATCGGAACGATGACCTTAGCATCTGGATTTAGTCTCTGCAGCAGGCACTTGATCTCGGAGATGGCTTCTGGTTTCTCCATGAGTGGGGCCTTGCTTAGGATGATGATGTCTGCGAACTCGATCTGGTCCAGCATCAGCTGTACAATGCTGCGATCATCTTCCACTTCGGGCGCAGGCTCGATGCTGTGGGCAGTGAGGAAAGCTCGCCATGCAGCAGCTTTGAGCGAGGCCCAGAACCCAGTTGGGGGGACCTCCTCCTTCTTCTCATCTCTGAGCCCGGTGTTTCCGACCATGCCTGTAGTATTTCTCTCGGCCAAAGTTTGGATGCTGCCCAAAGCATCGTACACATTCAGTGCATCCACCACTGTCACCATTGTGTCTAGGCGCGCAAAGTTCGACAACGTCTGGAACGACATCTTCTCGCCGCTCTTCGGCACCGCCTCATCAATATTCATTGTGAAGGTTTGGGCCACGGGCAAAGGCTCCGATATGCCTGTGGATTCAACAACAAGGTAGTCGAAGGCTTGCTCTTCACTAAGCTCCTTGACAGTCTTCAACAGGTCCTCGCGAAGCGTGCAGCATATGCAACCGTTGTGAAGCTCGACCATCCGAGCTTCTTCCTGGATTAGCCTGGAGTTCTTGATTTCCGATGCGTCAATATTGATCTCACCCATGTCATTCACCAGCACTGCAATCTTCATCGGTGTTTGCTCAGGATCTGCATTCGCAGTCTTCAGAATCTGCTTGAGCAGTGTCGTCTTCCCGGCGCCCAGGAAGCCAGAGAGCACTGTCACTGGCAACTGGCCCTTACCAGCCATGGCGGCTTCACTGGGAATGAAAGTCATTGGTACATAAGTATTGAGGCCAGGTGAAGACAACAAACAACTAGTTGAAAGTACCGGCTTTGCTGGATTGCTGAATCAAGGCGGGCACTGCTCGGTGCTTTTTCGAGTCTTAGATTGCATGCTCATCTCCTGGGTGCCGATCAGATCACAGCAGTCTTGCACGACCCTTGGGCCATCGCATCCGCCCCATCATGCGGATTCCCATGCAGGTCGTGTGGGCCTCGGCCCTGACAACTATCTCAGTGGATGTTCGCTTCATCGAACAGCTCGAAGAGCCACCATCAAACATCAAACATTTCAGGACTTTCCTACACATGGGTAGCCGTTTGTTGCTATTTAGCCACTTTGCCCTCGCAGACAGCGGCAATCTACGCAAGTCTCCCTGAATTTGTTCACCTACTCAGCAGCATTTGTCGGTTTCACCCCATCTTGCATCCGTCTCACGCCCCGAAGAGGAGGCAAACCCGAAGTGTCATTACGAGGCATCTTAGAGTTTCCTGCATCCCGAAAACCACATGCTGACGATTGTCCTGTGGCCCTATAGATCGCAAGCGTGCTGGAGGACAATTCTTTAACTAGATCTACGTAAGATTCAATTGCACATGCCTACCTTACAACTACGAAACGCAGGGTCGGCCCCTAAAGCCTGGATCAACATTAATCCAAATTGCATGTACAAGGCGAGGGTCACGCGGTAATCAGAGTCTTCGAAGCATTGGTACTCTTGGAAGTTGGGCCACTGCGCGGCATGTTGCAAAGATCCGTTGCAAACATGTCTTGGGGGAAGGAGAGTCCGAGCATGGTTGGAAAACACAATCGACAAGTTTTGGTTGAAACCAATCCGACATCAGTCGTGAAAATGGGCACCTGTACACAGATGTGGTTCAGAAACCCTCGACCTGCGTGATTACCAGAACCTCCTTCTGCAAAAGAGTATGGGCGAAGTAAATCTAGTTGCACAAGAGCAAACCCCCCCCCCCCTCCCCTGCCCCCTCCCCGGGCCGGTCCGAATCCAATACTTTTCGCCACCTTCCTCGAAACTCTCCTCAGCAGTCGATCTTAGATTCTCAGATAGGTAGTCAGGACATGGAGACTGAGAAGGTTCAGGCCCTGCTTGGATTCAAGATTGCATTCACTGCGTCTTTTGTTGCCACGGATTTGGACCATGCACCTACTGATACCTACCGCATAGCCTCAGAAACAACCAGCAGCAGAAAAGCTTTTGGCCGGATCTCTCTCCACTCCCAGAATTGGCACATTCAAAGCCATGAAGCACATACTCAACCCCACCACATCCTGACCGAGATTCGACAACTCCACGACTTTCAGAGTCGCCTAATGTGCCGCGGAGGATGACCTTCGGGCACAACAAGCGAACTCCAGCGTCGACGCAAGAACAGCTCATGGCGGGAAGACGTATGTGGCATCACAAGAACTTGTGAAAGCTCGGCGGTTGTTGTTGCCGTGGCGGCGGCCATGGCAACAGCAATGGACACAGTTGCAGCGGTGCAGTAGCAGTAGCACTGGCAGTAGGAGTAGCAGTAGTAGTGGTGGTGGTGGTGGTGGTGGTGGAGGTAGTGGTGGTAGTAATAGTAGTACCGTAGTACCATTAGCGGCAGCAGTGGTAGTCGTGGTAGCAGCAGCAGCATTAGCGATAGCAGTAGGATAACAGCAGCACTCGCAGTGGCAGTAGCGGTGGTAGCCGGAGTAACAGTACCAGTAGTAGAAACATCCGAAACAGGAGCATCAGATCGCCGGACCCATGCCATCGCCAGAACGGCCGGCATCATCAGCATCATCATATATGTCTCAACACTGCACACACCAACCACCATCGAACAGCACCTTGACTGTCTCAGACAATCCGAATCAAATCGAAAGTGCTGTACCACTTCTGCTCTGAAGGTCAAACAAGAAAGCTGCGGCAATATGCCGGCAGAGCGCACGTGACGGAAGTCGAACCCTGTAAGTCTCTGTACAATGTACAACGTTGTACAACAAGATCATCCCATCCGACTCCCGACACCAAATCCCGAACACTGCCAGAAATTACACGAAGTTCCGAAGCCAAACATCCTGAACCCTGAACGTCTCTGAAAACCACAGCTTCGAGCCTGCATCCCTTCAGGAATGTGCAGGGCTGCTCCGTCCTAAACACTCTTGCGGATTGAGGTTACGAAGGCCCGGGGGGTTGTAGGATGTTAGACCGTAGGAGGACCATAGCCTGTGCGATGCAAAAGGGGAATTTCGGAACCTACAGCGGCGCCAAGGGGCACAGGGTGGCCATGTCAGACGAGTTTTTCTGTGAACCGTAGACCATCGAGGTTCAAGGCCGGGTAAATGTCTGCTTTTAGTCGCAAGCGCGCTCAGAAGCAGCCGATGATTGTTCTTGGCTTCCCCACTGCAGATCCGAGGAGCAGCCCAAGACCAAAATTTCGGTCTAGACGTCGCAGCCAGTTCGCCGGACGGAAAACACCAACCCAACTCCACCTGATACCTACAGCCCCGGAAACATGCATGTAAAGCCCTAGAGTCTACACTATACCGAAAGATGCAGCATGTTCTTCTTGTTTGCTCTCCCACAGAACAACGTAATGTGCTTTGTGGCAGACGTTTGTATTGAAGCCCTGGAGATACAACACAAGAAAGACTCAGCAGGATACGAGTTTCGAAGTGTTGCAAGCCCAAACCCAAAGCCTTAGAACCCGAAAGCCCCACGTAGGTAGAAGCACGAGAACCTTCAACATGTAACATAACACATCTTATAGAAGATACAATACACCATACAAAAGTCCTGAAGCCCCCAGGGCCCTGAAACTCAATCGATGTGGCCTCGCCTGGGCAGTCTGGCATGGCAAACAGCTGGCCAGAAACTCCTTCATCATCTCGAGAACCTGTGCAGCGTAGACGGAACATCCAAGGGCTGTCTCTGCTGGATTTGGAACACGGGTAGTGCAGCAGAAGTCGTCGTACTAGTACTAGTACCGGTATGGGGCCAGTACTGCAGTAGCGGAAAGAAACAGAAGCAATGATGCTGGCAGTGGAAGGCATATTTCGCGAACAACAACAACTCTGACACTCGCAGAAATGACTGCTGCTGTGATGCCTACTAAGTGAGCGGCATAAGCTGGGAGAGCCAAACACACAATTGTCGTCCCAAGCCAGGAAGGCAAAGAAAGGCACGAGCACTAGCGATGTTTTTTGAACATGACGGCGACACAGCTGTAGTTATGCTTTGACAACAGAAAAATGCATGACAACTGTCAGCAAGATCGCTCTCCCGTCTCACCGCCTACCTACAGCTTCAATAACAAGGCAATTGCAGCCTGGCGGAACGAAACAACACACTGGGATTCAACCTTTCTAGTTGACAACGGAGATGTTCGTGTCCGTTAATGCAAACACGACCATGGCAGCGTGCATGTATGTAATTGTATACATTCGTGTGTATGTGTATATATTTTTTACAAACTATAAGATACACACAAGATATACATATATATATATAGGGTAGACACATACGGTCTCAAATGAAGTCTTTATGCTCACCGCGCCTCGCTGGAGATCTCGTGAGCTAGCTCTGGCAGCCTCAGTGAAGCTTCGAGACTTACTCCTTTGTTCAGTCTTCCGGAGCGTATCGGGTGTTTAGGAAGTTTAGTAAGATTGAAAGATCTGGGGCAGCTTCAGGCCTGAGTCTTCAATCTAAGAAGGCCAGGCATAAGCTGTTTTCCACCTAATGCTAGGTAGGGACAGTAAGAATATGTAAGAGGTCACCCTCATCATTGGGCTCGTGCCAGAAGTAGTTGTTGACCGCGACTTGGAAAATGAGACCACAAACACGGAGAACAATCAGCAGCAGGGTGGGGCATGGGTGCATGCATGCATTGACATATGATACCTGTATATGTGTACATGTATAGCCGGTTAGTTACACATGCGCACACAGTCCACGTGCGTATGTGTATGATGTGTATGTGTATCTACGTATGTAAGTATGTAGATCGGTAGGCAGGTAGGTAAGTAGGTCGGTAGGTAGGCAGGCAGGTAGGCAGGCAGGGGCAAGTAGGTAGGTAGGCAGGCAGGTAATGTAGTGTAATGTATTGTAGTGTAATGTAAGAAGTAAGTAAGTAAGTAAGTAAGTTAATATGTATGTCCGGACGCATGGCTATTCGGATGCACCTGCACCTCTGCATGTGTATGCACACCTACGAACAAACACACACACACACACACATATATATATATATACACTGAACTGCTGATTGTATTCATCTGCATAGATCGTGCAAGATGTGCGGTTGAAAGTCGTATGAGTAGCAACTCTGCAAAAGCTTGTTGACATCTGGGTCACTCGGTATAGCGCAAATTTCGTATGCCGAGCTCAAGAAGTCGCTCCTGGCAAAGAGAAGTTCGGCGGGCTGTGCTGCAGGGGTGTTCGCTGCCGTGCCCTGGTCTCTTCACTGAGGAATGCTCAAAGCTGGATCAAACTGCTGCTGTCCTTGGCAATGCGTGTCGTGTCGGCGGTGACGGTCCTTGCCAGGCCCCAGAACGTTCCCCACAAAATTGCAACCGTACAAAGCCTGAAACTGAAGCCCAAGACAGGAACTTGAAGAATGGGTTGCAGATTCTACATCCCCTCATCCAGGCCCTGACCATCCTGTCGCTGCCGCCAGCCACGAACAGAATTGGCACGTCACGTGAGGCATCCCCGAGCTGGAGGTCCCAGGGAACTCCACCTGAGGCGATATCGGAAGAAGCTTGAAGAAGAAGAAGTTTCCGGCTTGCAGGCGGGTGCTTGCCACAGGGTCTGCTGCAAAACGACTCTAAGCCTTAGAGTCTGAGAGTCTTAGAAATTTATATGTCTGGCTCGGGTTGGCTTGGAGCCATGCAGTGTCGCAGCCAGGAAGCCGCATAGCACACCCAGGCCAGCACAGGGGCTGGGGGCCTGAGGCGGAGTCCGACAGCATTGCACAAAGGATCGTACGGCACCTCGGTCGACGACTGGTTGCACTTGGAGGATTTCGACTCTGTTGCAAAGCTTTGAAGCCTGGAACTTGAGGAAAACCATCCCGATGCTCACGCGCCTCGAGCCCGGCAAGGGCGGCGATCATGGAGCCCTGGGAAAAGCCAGCGAAAGCAACCTGTCGCAGGGAATTTCAAGTGGATTCCCGAACAGTGGCAACACCAGTATCACTACAACGGCCAGTTACTAGTTACTAGTTGCACCACCACCACCACCACCAC